AATAGCTTCTACGGTCAAAATGGACGGTCGAATCTTTATCTTAGGAGATGATTAATCATGGACAATGTACCACGAAAGGATACAGCTATTAAACAACGCGATGAACAACCTTAGACAGGTTTTGAATTTATATTGTAAACTAAATGAGAAGACATAAAAAATTAAAGAACAGTTTTAATAAGGCTCTTTGAAGTAACATAGGACATACATTTTAATTGTTGTTGTGCATTTATTTGTTGGGAAAATATTAGCATAGACCAACCAACACAAGGTAGTATGTTTTACATGATATTGTATATGATGTTAGTACATGGTAGACGGTAGTGAATTCTGGAACACCCAGTATAAACAGTATCACGTAAAGAAGTATCATTCTTGTTCCTTACAGAAAATTGCTTAAACATTATTGAAGTAGTTAAAACAAAATGCTATCTATTTAGTTTGAAACTCTTTCCAAATGTGTCAATTGATTCAAGGATGATTTGAAAGTGGTTTTTGCACCGGAGATCCATACTTACCGCAGGAAATTAAAAGATTGGAGGGTAAAGGCAGTGCTGACCGCCGCAATCCGGTCACTACTACTTTATATCCCTGTTGTAGGTCGTACACATTTTTCGTATGTAATATGCTGCCATAGACTAATTTTTCATATCTATACTTAACACAATAATGGTTTTCTCGGTAACGCCCCTTTTTCACCAGTCCTAATAACCGTTTTATACGATTGATGTGTAATTTTTAAGCTTATGATCCAGCTGAGTGGCGAATGATTGTTTAAAATACCCCCGCCGAAGCAAACCTGGAGATTAAGTGAGTTTCCATATACCTGGCTTGAATTCCACTAAATTATTCACTTAAAATTGTCAGATTTATTTCCTATATCATTAATTTTGATGAGTACTTAGGTTTGCTGCTACAGGGAAGAAAATAGGGTTTTTTATATTTATAGCTTAGTATGAAGTAAACAAAATTTCATTAAAATATGTCCATGGTCAAGCAAGCTACAACAGTTTATTTATTTTCCATAACTTGGTAAATTTAGATTTAATTTTTTTTCGTAACCGTGCTTAGACTAGTGTGGTGTAAAATATCGTACGTCACTCGTACAAAATGTACTGGACTCGTATGGTAATCCTGGACCCGACTTCGTCTCGCACGGGAACGACCACACTCGGTCCGGTAAACACCTAGTTACAGGACTAGTAACGTAATAGTATATTACGTAGTATATAGTATATAGTATATAGTAGTATATAGCATATATACTATAGTACATAGTACTACTACTATAGTATATAGTAGTATATAGTATATAGTATATATAGTATATTGTATATATTACCCTGAAAATAAGTGTTTACCGGACGAGTGTGGTCGTTCCCTTGCGAGTGCGAGACGTAGTCGAATACGGGATTACCATACGAGTCCGGTACACACATTTTGGACGAGTTACGTACGATAGTTTACGCCACACTACTAAATCCGTACAAATCCTTATTTATTTCCACCAACTAAAGGACTAAAAATCACTAGTCAAGAGGTTATGTTTTTGTTTATAACCACTCACTGCCACCTAAATACAGTATAATCAGCTGATTGGTGTCCGGCAAAACTCATTGTAGTACACTAGTACGCAATGAAACCCCATTTGAATAAGCTGGCGGCAAACAGCTGTTTTCTGAACTAAATCCTTGCGTGGGAAGTTCGTCAAAATAATGTAGTGTGGCGTTATTGACATTTGTTTAACTTACTCTCAGGTCACTCAACCTTATCTCTCAGTGAAGGTTGGAGTAACGCACTACAGTATACACTGGACGTCCTCGTCACGAGGACAACGAGCTGTCTGACGAGAAACATCTCCTATCTATATACTTAATACAATTTTTCTTTGCAGCATCCCTTTTCCAGCTGTCCTACAAAACAGATTTTTACGATTGAGGTCTCATTTTAAAGTGGATCCAGCTTACCGGCGAATGGCAACGATATAAACGGTATCAGCAAACTGACACATACTTTCTCCCATAAGCTTGTAAACAACTTTTATCATGGGTAAGCGGTGGGAATAACTATGATATTCTATAGGCCTAGGGATGAATCACAAAAGTTGCAATAGCTTTTGAACCGTAATTGTTACAGCAATGGGGGGTTGCACTATTTTTGTTTAGAACTATAAGGACCATAACACATTAATCTTAATCAATACCAGCTTTTTCCTAAAATCCGATATTTTGGTTTTTTATGAGGGTTTTATGGAAAAATAACTTACGTTACAAAAAAAAGTTATTTTTACAGAAATGAGATTTGTACAATTTTGTTCAGAATTTAAAGGACCGTAACATACTAATTTCAATCAAAATCGGGTTTTTTCTAAAGTTCATTTTTTGTCATTTTATAGGGTTTTTATGGGAAAATAACTTAAGTACATAGTTAACATAGTACAAAATAAGTTGTATCCGACATAGGTAAATAGGCTATTAAGATACAGTGTAGGAAACTATGTTCAAAGAGGGTTGAAAAATACAACCTTATAGATAAATCTTAAATCATTCAACTCATTGGACCAGTGAATGACCAGTAAATTTTAAAATGTTCAATCCCCCTCCATCTCCTTTGAACCAAATAACCTGTTCAAGACTCTCACGTTGAATCTATACACCCTGTATATAATATAAATAACGATTTCAGGATCGTTAAAATACAGATTCTAGTGACCCCTTTTCATCTAGTTAATTCCAAAATTTTGGTTTTAGTGTATTTTTGTGTATATGTAGAGGTTAACTGTAAGAAAGGGCCATGAGGTCCTAAGTTCACCTCAATAAAGAAGCATTTTCGTTTAATTTCATTTCATATCCACATGATTCCTGATGACATTTTGTGTTTCTTAGCACGCTCTATCAGAAAAACATCGTTTCCGAAAATTTGAAAGACAACTGACCCAAGTCTAGTTAATTTCAGAAAAGTGGTTATACTCAAAGTTGTGGTCCAATAAATGACTGTTTAAACACATGGTAACACTGGAACAGTATGCAGTATGTGGCTTTGACAAACGGGCAAAAACATGTTTCTAAGAATATACAATTTTCGCAAAATCGCCATTGAGTAAAATCAACACATAAATTGTAAAGTGGCCAACAAAAAGTACCTATTTCTCGGTCAAGAAGGCAAAACCACTTTTGCAAGTTTCATAGAACAGGAACGTTGAACTCATGTCCTCCGAGATGTAGGCCAAGGCATAATAAAGGCTGAGATAATAATTACATGTTGCGGCTGTATAGCGTGTGTGCCGAACTGACCACCGTCCAGCTCTGGGCAGCGAGCCTACACAGTACACATTCTCTGAAACCGACAGTTCATTGCCACACGAGCATCAAGTACCATCCACCTTTTAAATACATAACTGGACCCAGCTGACCTTATCTTTGGGCTAATAATGAGCCTTGCTAAAGAACAGCTGATCGTCAGTAACAAAGCTACACGGATCATCCCACTCCCACTTCATTTTACACTCATTTTTTGGGTTTAAATACGCACCTTGGTGGCGTCCCCATCTCAAGTGGTAATAATAATAATACCAGAACATAAACTGTATGGACCATAATGATAAACAAATGATGGTACTGGCCTGAAATTACACATTATTTAACATTGCTTAAATGGAACTATCTAAACCAATGTTAACGTTATTAATATAGGATTCAAGCCAGTTATGCAATTTGTTATGTTCATGACCCATGCAGCTTTCTGTTCTAATATCCGTGGAACAATCTCATTGGATCACGGCCAGATTGACCACACAACGTCTCATTAACCTGACCATGATGTTTTCTAGGAAGCCGGATCAGCTGGTCGGTTCCCTTCTCGCAAGCATTTCACCAGTTGCATCAGCTGTCTGGGGATGTAGTGCTATATCTTTCAACACGTAAATTTCCCAGAAAGTAGTGCTATCTCATCCAGCGTTTACAGTTGATTAAACATAACAACTGGTGCTACAATACCTCGTCCAATTTTAGCTCGACATAGAGTACGTCATAAGGAACACAGAGTAGGTGGTCTCCGTTCTGTAGTTCTACAGAAAATTCATGGAAAAATTCATTCTAGGATGAATGACTGCTTTACTTATGTGACTATGAGATTGAGGAGTCATTGTAAATTGCTTCATAAATGTCGAAATCAACATGGACTAACCTGTGGAAACAAGAATGATAAACTAAAAATTATAAAGGTAATCATAGGCCGATATGCACATCAAATTAAATGTCTTTTAGAAGTATCTAATGCAGCAAATTTGAGCTCAAAAGAAACACTGAGTCGAAAATGAGAGCCGTTCTAAGATTCCAAAATGCAGATAACAGAAATCTTTGATTGACTGCGATTTTTGACTCGGTTATCCGTTAGAGTTCAAATTTGTGGTGTTATATTCCACTAGTTAACCACCTTTAGTTATATTTGCATATCAACTTGTTAACTTTGACGACTCCTAGCTGGCCGTCTCCAGAGGGAGTAGCGTATCTCTGAATAATGTAACAAAAAATGTTAATTCCTAGTAATTTTGTACCAAGATTTGTAGCCCTACCTTTCGAGATATTTAACTGGCCCGGAATTTTTTTCCACCCTGACAAACTCTACATCGTTTACTCGATAAAAGCTACTACAAGAACATTAAGTCCACACAGGAACCCGCTGGGGTTCGTGGAAGAACATATTTTTCAGAATTTAATTTTACTTTTCATACTTGTATACTCATGCAAAAATTGTTTATGTATTATGCCTGTCTTTGCAGATTCCAACTATTGTTAGGATTTGATAATGAGCAAACGATAAACTTGAGTCTTAAAAATAATCACATAAGATCAACGATAGTTTAATTGAAAATCCGAACATCTGAACAAATGTTGGATCGTTTGTTCATGGTCTTAATTAATTGAAGACAAAGAAAATGCAATCGGTAAAGATCGTAAGTAGTGTGAATAGGTGTAAATAAACAATGAATATTGTGTTGAATGAGTTTATTAACTTCACCTTCTTCTAACAACTGTGGTTTATTAACTAATACGTTAATTAATGGTTAATTAACTCATGGTCCCCACAAGGGTGGGGTTGGTGCAACTCTAGTCACATGGTCATAGTTATATTTAATCTTTGTTTGTTTATTGAAGCATATTTTACAGCGGATCATAGATTTGAAATTCAAACAGCCTACATATAATTATTACAAAATCGAAGTGAAAAAAATAATATTATTTTAGATTTTATGTTCAGTTATGAATTGGCCAAACTCACTTGACTTTTCAGACGTTATTAATTATTTTAGTGAAAAGAATTTTAAGAAAGCTATGATTATATAGACCATAGGAAGTCATACATCATACATCAAAGTAAGGTTTTTGAAATCTATGATAATACCATGGCTACTTATCAATGACAAATAAACATGGACAACCTAATACGGCTATGAGTGGGAAACATATGTAGAAAACGCTAAAACGCAAGATCAGTTTTTGAAAAATGATACAATATTTACAAGAAATGATTATACTGTATCGAACTGTTATGTACACTGTGCGTATTTCCATTAGTTGCATGATCTTTGAGTCGAATCTTTTAAACTCATCGGAAACTCATCGCCATATATTCAGTGGTGGTGCGGACACCAAATATACATTTGCTGAACACAACTTCGATAAATGGTGAAAGAACTTCCTTCGCATAAGCCAACAGTTGATGTAGATGACTTGTAGACCTACTGCTGCTATATATTCCATCCTGAGATAATAGATTAAGAATGGTGTTTTCCTGTAAAGCAATAATAAATGGTACAATACGTTTAGAAACTACACAGTCATATACGATAAGCCTTTTAGGCCCAATGAGAATACTTAAGAAATACTATGGCAAAAACAATTATACTCTACAGCACCAAAGGATTATTATTCATCCATTTAAGCTAATACTATCGTGAGGTATTTTTTAAAACTAAGGAGTATTTTTCGGATACCTGGTATTATTAGAGGTTTTTAATGTTTAGATTAATGTGTGTGTTATTTATAAATATAACAATAAAATGTATATCTATATAGGGTTTTGACTGTACATTGTCCAGAATTATATATATTTTTGTTATTTTTACGTTGTATACGTTAAAGAAGCCGAAACAAGTCTTATCTCAATTTATGTACATCTGTCTGTCTATCACGACCCAGAAGGCATTTTACGAGGCCTTCTCCTGAGAAACGAGAGTACCTATCCAGATTCAAATCATTTTAGTGTATTCGCTAGATTGACAAGAGTGTCTTTGGCCATTAAAATATGGCCTCACTACTTTGTAAATAAAATGACGGACGTTCAAAAACTAAATTTTCTCTGATTTTTGTCCAGTTTTCTCCCAATGTTTATCACATATTCATCTATGAAATAACGGACAGCTGTTCGAACCAAGATTATTTCTTCTAGCTGTCACTGATATGTTTACATTACATGTTATTTACAAATACCGCAACCATTTCCAATTACATTTTGAAAGCAAATCCAAACCAAAAGAGATTAAATACGTTTTCCCTTACATAATGGATTTAATTGATCACAAGTGCAATAGTGTGTAACCGCATCATGAAAGTCAGGAACTGGAGATCCTTTGTGTATCAAATTGTTCTTGAGTTTTGATATCCGGGAAAAGGACCTTGAACGAATCAGTGTTGTATAGGGCTGGGAAAATTACATTTACGCCACACGACATTATTTTGACGAACTTCCCACGCAAGGATTTAGTCCAGAAAACAGCTGTTTGCCGCCAGCTTATTCAAATGGGGTTTCATTGCGTACTACTGTACTGTAATGGGTTTTACCGGACACCAATCAGCTGATTATACTGTATTTAGGTGGCAATGAATGGTTATAAACAAAAACATAGAGAGGTTATGACTAGTGATTTTTAGTCCTTTAGTTGGTGGAAATATATAAGGATTTGTACAGATTTATTAGTATGGCGTAAACTATCGTACGTAACTCGTCCAAAATGTGTGTAACGGACTCGTATGGTAATCCCGTACTCGACTTCGTCTCGCACGGGTACGACCACACTCGTCCGGTAAACACTTATTTTCAGGACTAGTAACGTAATATACTATTTCACTACACTACTATGAGTTGAGCTGTTTTCGTTATGTGTTTACAACCTATGAAAAATCATATTTTCAACAGCTGTCTATTGTTTACTACCGAAAGTAACATTGCTTACAACCGAAAATTTTCCACTGTCAACAACTTTAAGTATTTGTTATTTTTTTATCAACTGTTTCAATAACTAGAGTAAATATTAACTTTAAATTGAAGGCATAACCTAAAAAGTTCTATGAGTTTCGTAATGAAGAAAATAATTATTATTTGCAGTGTAACAAAAGGTAACGTTCAAAACACGAGTGAAAGTGGGTCTATACATATTCTCGACCCTTTAAAGTGCTCGATAAATATGCAATGGCTCACTTTCTACTTTTGTTATGAAATATACTATTAATTTAGTTTAATAATTTGATATAACATATTCACCAACAAGATCCGGGCGACATTTTTAATTGCGAAGCATTTTTTTTTTTTTTTTTTTTTTGCTTGAAACTGTCAGATATTGTATTTTAGAAGGTTTTATATGTCCTATAATAGTTTTGCCAGCATATCTGGAAATATGCACACCAACTGCTGTTCTGAATATAAGAAGGTTTCAACCAACTGACTACAAGATCCCCGTGCGTAGAACGAGCACACAGCTAGTGAGCTGTAGTGAGTGATACATAAGAATCGTAACTGCTGCTTACATAAACAAAGTCAACTACGATATTACTATTTTAACATATTACAAATAGACTGCAACATAATTTTTTTTTAAATGACATTTACCAAAGACTGCTCATCTCAGAGGATGTATTTACTCCGAGCAAAGCTCGGTCCCCAGGTACCATTTTTACACCTGAAATCATTGTAATGAAAAAAGTTTGATTTTATTTCAAAATTCAAGAACTGATAGGCTTTATTAAGTCTTTTAATTAGTGTATTGAATAGCAGTTTGACAAAGGTATTTGGTATAGGGCAGCGGCTAGTAGGGGAAATGTGGTGTATAAGGAGGGCAGGGCTTCGCCCTCGCGTCGATATTGAGACTCTAACCTCTAACTCAGTTAGAAACCGAGGATTATAAGGGTCACTCTGAAATTCAGAGGTAATAGGATACGGAGCTAATAGGACGCGGAGATATTGGGACGTAACCAACTCCTTGCGATCAATTAAATCCGTTATGTAAGTCACAAGGTCATTAATCTCAATCGTTTTTTAATTTACTTACAAAAACAACGTGTTAAGAAATGGTTGCAGTATTTGTAAACAACAATTTAACGTAGGTAAACACCGGTGGGGCACACGGGAGGGACTAAGGCTAACATACCTTGTAGTGTCAGCGTTCGTCGCTAGAACTGCTAAGTTGAAAAATTTTAAATTATTTTTTTTAGTTATAAAATTAACTTTTTAATTATAAAATATTGTTTTAAAATTATAAAATAAATTTTTAATTTTTAAAATTAAACTATCATAACATAACCTAACCAACCAGACTTGCTGATAATATAAAAACTATATAAGATAAAAATCTAATTAATAATTACTTATAATTTTTAATTAATTATAAAATTAATTTTAACATTTAGTATTATAAAACTAAACTGTCATAATCCAACCTAACCAACCAATCTTGCTGATATGAAAAATTTGTTGGCAAAAGTTAGTGCCGCCAGTGGGAATTCGAACCCGGGACCTCCTGAACACTAATCCGAAACGCTACCAACTATGCCACGAACACCGCTGAAATCATAACGTTTCGTTACGGTAATCGTGTCGCCTCAAGAGAAGACTAAGCTCTAAGTCACTAGAGATATGACGTCACTACACCTTAGCCTTAGTCCCTCCCGTGTGCCCATTCCGGTAACCACAACAGTGACAGCTAGAGAAAATAATCTTTAACAACTGTTCGTTATTTCATAGATGACGTATTCTCTGCACACATGATTGGTATTTGATAAATGACGTATGTATTAAACATTGAGTGTAAATGTGAGAAAAGTCGCATACAATTATATAATTGTGTTTTACAACCTTGGATATTTTATTTAAAAAGTAGTTAGACCATAGTTTAATAGCTAAAGAAGATCTCACCAACCCAGTGAATACAGTAAAATGATTTGAATCTTGATAGGTACTCTTTACTCTACTTTTCTTGGAGTAGGCCGCGTACATTGGATTTTTTGTGCCAGAGAAATAATGACGGACAGACAGACAGACAGCAACTAAGATAAGCCACGTTTCGGATTTCTTAGAGTGTAAAACTTAAAAACAACCAAAGACTTGATGATTTCTACGCAATGTACAGACAAAACTGTATTTTTTTGTATAGATGTTGAAGCCATCATACATTTAGAGTTCCCAATTTCAGTGTTCAGCGATTCCAAATTCAAACATCAGCACTGAAATCATTAGTATTAATTAGGATTACGTTCAACATTATATTACCTTAGGCGCAATTAACTCCAGTACTCCTTTTTTAACATCGTCGCAGGTCTCCCAGCCATGAGGGTCCATATACTCCTGCCTCACGCTGTTATGCCCAATTTTAAAAACCAATTCGCTTTTTTCTTTAAAGACAAATTCTATCTTTTCGTTAATGAGATTCTTAGCTTCCTAAACTTCCTTAGAGCTTTTTCCGAAAGCATCATAGAAACAGGCCGCCAATGTATCTCTTAGGTTTTCAATTTGGGTCACCTGAAATATCGTATTAGTTGAACAATACTTTTTAACAATTAATAAAACCCATATTTTGTTATAATTTTTTATTATTACTAAAGCAATAAATAGTTTTAAAAATAAGTATATGTTGGACAAGAGCTTATTAAATAAGGGATATAAGTTCCTTTTAGTGAGTAGAACCTACTGGCGAAGTTAACACGGTCAGTAGAAACTCACCCTGTATATAGATAGATAGATAGATAGATAGATAGATAGATAGATAGAGATATATAGATAGATAGATAGATAGATATATATATATATAGAAGATAGATGATGATGATGATTCTATAACCATTGCTGCATCAACCCAGGTTCTGCTTTCAATTTTTTTTTAAGTATCTAAGTAAAAAAAATGTTTATTGATATATTTTCATGGAAACAGTATAAAAATTACAATGTATTGATGTTTTGTATGAATTTGGAGTTTATTTTTAACAAATTTGAACTGCTTAACATGTTTTGTCTGAACTTAACATTTAACTTGCACTTCACCTTGGTAAATGTGGTAAACTGTGGTTTGCTTCACCTATGCTTAAATTAAACTAAAGAATATCATAAATAACTAAATTGTATGCTGATGATTGTGTTGTTCTAAAATCTGTGGTATATGTGCAACTATATTTTATAATTAAATGGTAGTACAAAATGATCTTATTTTACCTTAACATAGCCTTACTTTTTTGCATTTCGATAAATTTATTATTGTGTTTTACTACACCGCTGATTAAATTAAACCATGGAAAATGTCATAAAACTAAGCTGTACAGTACAGTGTTCTTTTGTTTCTAAAATCAAGGAAATGTCTGTTACTATGTTTACTTAATCGGTAAGTGTGAAAATGTAAAGGCAATGAACTATGGAACTGATTACGAAATGTTTTGTATTTTATGTTGTTTGTTGATATTTTTATAGAGTACAATCGGAGATGCAATTAAACATATACTGTATTTATTATTGATTTTTTTGTCCTTTATGTTTTGATAATCGTTTTAATATGTTTAATTACATATGTTTTAATTATAGTATAATCATATTATTACATCATATTACATTTTTTTTTGTAAAATGTTAATAGTTTAGTAAGAAATAGATGCATTTTCCAAATTTTATCAAAATGTAACAATGTATGATCAATGATCAAATGATCAATGTATGTTTGATAAACAAGCAAACTACAACAGTTTACTTATTCTCCATAAGAATAACATGGGAATTTAAATTTTTTTTATTTTCTCCTTAACCATTATGGGCATAATAACGCTTCAATATACTAAAATATTTGGGTTTTTAAGCTCTACAAAATGGTTTGGAAAGAAATTTAAATATTTTATTTGAATCAATCAATAACAATTTATCAATAATAACAGATCTAGTTATGCTAACCAACTTTCTTTATAACGGCTTAAATGTGGATTGAAATTTAACAGCTGATCCTCCAGTTCAATGTTTAACCACTGTCAGATTGTAAACAGGAGATACACCAGTTTATGAAATAGTATCACTAGGGCCTAAAGTGACTCTTTTTGACCCGAGGTCACAAGTTTTACAACTTTGTGAAACATACTTTTTGCCCGTGTGGTGAACTATATTTTTCGTCATATTGCATCATTAATAGCTAAGCTAGAAAACGAAATAATTTTTATGAAAAGATAACCTCTCAAAACTACTTCCAGCTTGTTTTCAATTCTGCTAATGCAAATAAGAATTTCGTCTGTTACGATTGTGTTCCACACAGTACATTATACGTCTATGATTATACCATCGACATGTAGAGTGATTGTCAACAATAGGCTAACTCCTTGCCTAAATAAATAAATAAATAGATAAATAATTTCGATCGATATGATTGTCACAATCGAAATTTACAACTGTTTACAACAGCTGATTTTTACTCCCTAGAGACAAAAAATGCTTCCGTACTTCACACCCGCAACGCATGCATTAAAAACGGTGGTTTTTGCTGCAGTATAACGAAAAAGTATTTTTCCTACAGATACCTAACAATGTACATGTTCTCTCACTGATTTGAGAAAGCAAAGAGGCCCATTCGGTCATCAGTGAGACAGTGTTAACATTGTCTCACTCTAATTAACTTACTTTGTCTCTCTCACTCCATATTTGCAACGTGAAGGCACGAAATAGTAAGCGCGTAACATGCAGACAAGGTTGTATGCGTGCGAAATACGTTGGCAGCACTGGCTGTAAATCAGCTGGTCAGCTGTTGTATTGTTGTATCATTAAATGTCATATTAAAAGTTCACTTCTGTGTAAAAATATGTTACGCTTCTTTACCAATTTATTTGTTTTATGATAACTGTAGGAAATAGTTATTTGTGCAACTAGTGAGAAAAGTGAGCAATTGACTCACTCGAGAGAAATCCTTACTCACGAGCCGTAGGCGAGTGAGGAATGGTTTCTCGAGTGAGGCAATTGTACTTTGAACTCGAGTTGCACATTATACTTTTCCTACAGTTAAGGGCCTACCATAAAACAAATAAATTGGTGAAGAAACATAACCTATTTTTGCACAGAAGTGAACTTTTAATATAACATTTTAATGTGAAGTGACAAATACAACAGTACAACAGCTGACCAGCTGATTTACAGCCAGTGCTGCCAACGTATTTCGCGCGCATACGACGATGCCTGCATGTTACGCGCTCACTATTTCGTGCCTTCTCGTTGCAAATCTGGAGTGAGACAAAGTAATTAGAGTGAGACAATGTTAACATTGTCTCACTGATGAGCGAATTGGCCACTTTGCTTTCTCAAATCAGTGAGAGAACATGTACATTGTTAGGTAACTGTAGGAAAAATATAATGTGCAACTCGAGTGCAAAGTGCAATTGCCCCAATCGAGAAACCATTCCTCACTCGCCTACGGCTCGTGAGGAAGTATTTCTCTCGAGTGTGAGTCAATTGCTCTGAATCAAATACTTTCTGCTCACTTTGCCTACTAGTTGCACAAATAACTATTAAATAGGCAACTTTTTTGACAAATGTGCTCTGATTAAGGTTGGTAAATCACTCATTAGTGGACCTAAAACCAACAAATATAATGTTAATTAGTATACAGGGTGATTGATATAAGTGTGCCAGCCGTTTTATTCGAAAACCATAAGAGATATCAAAAAGAGTAAAATGGTAAGTGCCTTGGATTTTTTATTTAAAAAATTGTAGCCAAGTCAAAAAAATTATTTTAGCCGCCATTTTTCCAATATGGCCGCCAACTTTGATTTTTCTTATGGAACACCCTGTATTTTATGATGAATTCTGGTAGAAAATGTAATTTTAAGACGATTTTATTCTTGTAATTTTTTTATAAACCTAACCGTTTCAAAGATAATAATGGTTTAAGCATTAAGCTTTAACCATTATTATCTATGTAACGGTTAGGTTTATGAAAAAAAATCACAAGAATAAAAACGTCTTAAAATTACATTTTCTACCAGAATACATCATAAAATACAGGGTGTTCCATAAGAAAAATCAAAGTTGGTGGCCATATTGGAAAAATGGCGGCTAAAATATTTTTTTCGACTTTGACTACAATTTTTAAATAAAAAATCCAAGGTACTTACCATTTAACTTTTTTTGATATCTCTTATAGTTTTCGAATAAAACGGCTGGCACACATATATCAATCACCCTGTATCTAGTCACCTAATAACAGTAACTGTTCTAAACAAACCTAATCTTGAAAAGGTAAATGTGTATTGTACTGGATCCATGTTGCCTAGGACTGCACAATTTGCGAACGGGTCCCCTCGTATATTTTAAATTGTTTTATTTATGCTTCAAATGACTTACTACCAAGCAATGCTCGGTCATCTGATTCGACATTGTAAAATACTGAATATTTACCGCATGGGCGTAGCCCAAGGTCTGGCCTCTCGGTTCAGCCTCTGTTACACCCTCCAAAACAGGAATGTTCTCCACGCTAAATACGAGAACGAACAATAGTGTGGCATTGATAATTTTCCTCTCCTTGAAAAAAAATAAAAATGTTTTTGAAAACAATTTATGTAGCCTACTCCTGCAATCAGATGCAGGTTGATGTTAATAATAAATACCCCCGCCGCAGCAATCCTGCAGACTTAGCGAATTTCCATTTGACTGATTGGTTTTACATTGAAATGTCTCCTTAAAATATCACATTTATTCCTTATTTGAATATAATTAGATTAACGAGTACTTAGGTTTGCTGCAACAGGGAGGATAAAAAAGTGTTTTAGCGAATTTCCCTATAGGGAAGTAGCTATTACCGTAGGTGGCACGGTAAGACCTAGGCCCGGGACCGATTTGCTTTTTCATTTATTCTTACCTCAAAAATCCTTTCTGGCTCCACCCCATTTCCTCTGGAGTTTCTCATGTTAACCTTATGAGTATTCATATTTAAATAAATTAAAGAATTTCGTCAGCCGTTTCAGCTGCACAAGTTGGTTCTATGATATTAAATAGCATTAAAAAGTTATAAGGCTTACCAACAAGGTGCAACACTATTATGTTGTTTGCATTTATGACAACAGCTAATTTGAACCAACTAGCAACAAAAAGTTGTGGTACACAATGAGAACTTTACTTTTTTCTATGGTTTAGGTGCAGTGGTAGAACATTAAGGCTTTGGTAGATGTGTGCCACACTATAGGATACTGTATAAATTAAAAGACCAAATTTTCTTAAACCGTGTCCTCTCTCATAACTGAAATGAACATTTTATACTTTGCCAACCCCGTACGAAGGACGGGTACTCTGCTAGTATATATATATATATATATATATACGTCCGTGAACGCGATAACTTGAGTAATTTTTGTCCGATTTTGATGAAATTTTGTTTAAGGGTGTAAGGCGGGATAAACTTGGATGAGGTCGCGAACCAGCATGATCGGACCATGGGAACAGGGTTTTACGGGGGGTTTTATGGAAAAGCATGGTTTTTCTCATTTTTGACCCTCAAAATATAAAATTTCCCAATTTTTTTCTAGACCTTTTTAAAGAGCATAAAAAAACAAATAATTTAGTAGATCAAAGTGTTTTTGTACGGTTATTGGTAACCTAGAAAATTCAAAAAATTGTATACTTAAAATTCCCATGTTATTCTTATGGAGAATATTGTAAAATGTTGTAGTTTGCTTGTTTACGGATATTATTTTGATCAAACATGGCTAATTTATTTATTTTATTCTAAGTTTTTTTTTCTAAAAAAGATGTTTGGCGGCCTTTTTTAACCTTGCATTTGCCCGTCCACATAGACTACAGATCTGTGCGTGGAACGTATCCAGCAATTCAAAGTTATTAATATTAATATTTACTATTAATATTTATACTAAAATATTATTAATATTTTATTAATATTATACTAAAAAACACTCCGTATTAGTTTCCTTGTAGCAGCAAACCTAGTTACTCGTTAAACCTAATGTATTTAAATGCATTTGATTGAAAATCAATTCAGACAAATGGAAATTCGCTTAGTCGGCAGGTTTGCTGCGGCGGGGGTATTTTGTTGTAAAATGTTAATACTGTAGTTTAGTAAGAAATGAATGTATATTCCAAATTTGATCAAAATATGTTCATAAACAAGCAAACTACAACAGTTGACTTATTCTCCATAAGAATAATATGGGAATTTTAAATTTACAATTTTTTGAAATTTTCTCCATAACCATTAGGCGCATAATAACGCTTCAATATACTAAATTATTTGTTTTTTTAAGCTCTACAAAATGGTTTGGAATGAAATTGTGAAATTTTGTGTTTTTAGGGTCAAAAATGGGAAAACCCTTTTTTACCCCATAAAACCCCCATAAACCCCCGTTCCCATAGTCCAATCATGTGGGTTCGCGAACTCGTTTGAATAAATGTAGGTTTACACGTTTGTACCAAATTTCACCAAAATCGGATCATTTTTGCTCGAGTTATCGTGCTAACAGACATATATATACAGGGTGGTAAAAAAGTCCCAGGACAGTTAAATATTTTAAAAAATAATGTAGATAGAGCTACAATATTTGGTACAAAGTTACAGGGCATAAAACTCTATTTTAACACATATTCAGTGATCCAATAACTCTTCAGGGGGACGGCCCACAAGGAGTCGGAAGAAAATCTTAAATAGAAGCATAGGTCAATATGCACATCAAATTAAAGGTCTTTTTAGTAAAATACAATGCCGCAAACTGCACTTCAAAAGGTTGATCCTACGCAAAATGGCAGATGTTCAAAGATTTCTTGAATCCGCCATTTTTAATCTTTGAATGACTGCCATTTTTTACTCAGGCATTCTGTTGAGCTTGAATTTACGGCATCATAATCTACTAGTGAAGACCTTTAATTTGATGTGCATATCGACCTATGCTTACGTTAACAATTTTCTTCCGATTCCTAGGGCTGTGCCCCCCTGAGGAGTAAGCGTATAATAGCAATGTAAATTAAACGAATCTTTGAACAACTGTCATTTTGCGCAGGATCAACCTTTTTAAGTGCGGTTTGCGGCATTGTATTCTACTAAAAAAGTCCTTTAATTTGATGTGCATATTGACCTATGCTTCTATTTAAGATTTTCTTCCGACTCCTTGTGTGCCGTCCCTCTGAAGAGTTATTGGATCACTGAATATGTGTTAAAATAAAGTTTTATAACCTGTAACTTTGTACCAAGTATTGTAGCTCCATCTGCATTATATTTTAAAATATTTAACTGTCCTGGGACTTTTTTACCACCCTGTATATATAAATACATTATTTAAAACTAAGTACCCTTTTAAAATATCATTTTATTGATATATGATTTTTTAAAGGGTACTTAGTTTCAAATCATGTATTTTTATATCAAAATAGTAGTCCTAATCACTAATTTTTTTATAATATATATATATATGAATTTGAACAAATGGTGCTTTTGGCCTCTAAGGGCCTCAAAACGAAAAAGTAAATTGGTCCCGGGTCCAGGTCTTACCATAAGTACTACGGTAATAGCTTATTCCCTATATGGGAAATTCACTAAAACAGAATTTTTTTAAACCGTATCAGGACGTTACTCATTGCTTTGTTTTACAATTATATATTATATTACGACATTACATGTTACCCATAATTTATATTTGGTATGTAACCTTTGGTAACTGAAAGTAGAAACTTAATTTCCTTCTGTAAAAGTTTTCCTTGTACTAAAATTCACAATTTTTTTCATTAGCCAAGGCTACAATAAGTTTTAACTTATCGCTTAATACATAGAATCTCGTTAGGTTCAACTTTATTGATTTCAGACAAATCATTGGTCCCACAATGATGAAATTAAACATGCTCCCGCTGAACCAAGTCCAAGGATTAACGTAAAAATACTGTACATGTTTTGTTAATGCAGAATGTATCATATACAACGTTTCACTTGTTCGAATCTCACAATTGTATTGTCAAATAATCATAACTAGTGTACATGTTGCTCGAATTCGAGCAATTGCAAAGTATTACAGGAGTTATTTCAAAACGAATAACAGTCATATTTACAATGAGTTTAAAAGAGTCAATTCAAAGATTACCGGTGTGTAACTCAGGCCATGTTTATCTTACCAGTATTTGATAAACCTAAAGCATTCTGGCCGGTTTTCTCCTTCTCAAAATGCCTCGCTGTACAAGCAACACAGGTCATTGATAGAGGGTTAATTGAGAACGAAAAGTCGTTTGGGGGTAGTGTTAGGGCGCATTTGTAACCTAATAGTTGAGATTGTCCAGGGTCAGGTGCTGACTGTGATGAGTTAAGCCTATTACGCGCCACTGTTCTGTAGCTGGCTTGTCTATGTTTCGTTGTCGTCGCGTCGGAGGCATTTAAAAGGAAAAACAACAAATAAACAAATTATAGCTACACAAAACAACGATAAATGCACAAATGATACAATCATGCTAACACAATCCGTCATAGCGCCACAAAACAACGATAAATACACTAATTTAAGATACTACCATACTAACACGATCCGTCTTGGGGGTTATGTTTACACAAACTCAAATAGTAAATAAATGTACTCAATGGGTTTCATTGAATTGAAAAATAAATAACAGCAATTATATTATACAGCTGATCAAAATGTAAAAAATTATGTTCTCCATAAGGATAACATGGGAACTTTCAAAGCCACTGGGCAGAGCCCAAGGGACTTTTTCAAAAATGTAAGGCCAGTTTGCAAATCTACGCGACACGCTCTTTCCAATAAGACGTCAATGGATAAAATCGGTTAAGAAATGGCGGAGGAGTTCAACCGACAAAGTTTCATGTAGCGTATTAATTATATTAATGTTAATTATATTAATTATAATTAACTAATTATAATTATAATTTATTGTTAATTATATTAATGTTACATTAAACATTAATGTTATATTAATGTTTAATGTAAACTATATTGATTTGGAATGCAGCTCAGCTGATGTAGTGTTTTTATCCTTTAACTTTTCAGATATGACTTTCCATTTAATTGCAATATACAGATTATTAAATGAAACAATAGATACTTTTGTAAATGAATTTCAACAAATATTCAACAAGCATGAGGTTTTACAAAAAAGTAAAAATTTATTTTGGGTCGGAGATTTAAATATTAATATAATTGAAGAGAATACAACTTTCTCCATTGACAGTTATATCTCATTAATGGCTGTTAATGGTTTGGAGTGTCTTATAAAGGAGCCGACAAGAGTTACGGATATTTCTGCAACTTGTATTGACCACTGCTATGTGCGGGTATCAAGTAAAAACATGATATCTGTGCATGCGTCGGTTATTCATGCCGGACACACAGACCATGCCATGTGCCGAGTGGACGTGCAGGTGGTGAGTGGTGGGAGGGGGGGAGGTGGACTAGCCGTGTCCTCTCCGTCCACCACGAGATACCGCACGGACTTTGGTCTGCTCAGACAGTGTCTGGATAGAGAGGACTGGGCTAATGTATACAGTCAAACTGATGTGTCGGCAGCTTTTGACTCATTTTTAAATATTTTTCTAAATTATGAATCTGGATGCAAAGTAGTAGTAAATAGTAACGGAAATAATAAATTAAAGTTTCTAAAACCTTGGATGAGTCAGTACATTTGTTTAAAAATCAAGAGAAGAAATAATATTTTTAGCCAAGTCCGAAAGCATCCAAATAATGGGAGGTTGAGGAACTATTACAACATGTATAGAAATAATTTACAAAAGGAAATAAAGGCCCTGAAGGACAATTACTATAAGCAAAGATTTCAAAATTGTCAGGGCAATTCAAAAGCAACTTGGAGGGTTTTAAATGAGCTAACAGGTCAATCAAAGAGCCAAGAAAATAAATTACAATTAGAAATAGGTAGTATTACTGTTGAGGACCCAAAAGTTGTATCGAATGAATTTAATGATTTTTTATAGGTTTGGTTGAAAATCTGAAATTAAATAATTCTGTACCTGATTATTTCCTCTCACTGGAGTATAATCAAATTTTTCCTTGCAAAAGTGAAGTTAAATCTTTTTTTATAGATGAAGTAAGACGTGATGAACTTGTGTCTGTAATTAATAGCTTGAAAAACAACAAAAGTCCAGGAATAGATGGTGTAAGTGCAAATTTAATAAAAGAGGTTTCAGAACAGATTTTGGATGTTCTTCTATTTTTAATTAATTTTAGTTTCCAAGGTGGTGTTTTCCCCACCAAACTGAAGACTGCAGTCGTGATACCTATTTTCAAAAGTGGATCAAAATTGCAGTGTAATAATTATCGTCCAATATCTTTGTTGTCATGTTTCTCTAAGATTTTTGAGAAGCTAATGAAGAAAAAGCTTTTACATTTTCTCAGTTATACTAATTTTTTTAGTATTCATCAATTTGGCTTCAGATCAAATCTAAATACAGAACATGCTCTTTTAAATTTTCTACAAAATATTTATGATGGACTGAATAAGGGTGAATGTGTGAGTGGTTTATTTTTAGATATCAAGAAAGCTTTTGATACGGTTGATCATGAAATTTTATTAAATAAGTTGTATAAATGTGGGATAAGGGGTATTGCTCAAAATTGGTTCAGAAGCTACTTAATGGATCGGCAACAATGTGTAAAAATTAATTCAGTTATGAGTGAAATGGGAGTAGTGAGAAGTGGTGTTCCCCAAGGTTCAGTCCTTGGGGCAATTTTGTTCATAATTTACATAAATGATTTATGTAATGCTCAATTTTATGGCAGATTAACATCTTTCGCGGACGACACAGCTCTTTGCTACACAGGACACAATTGGAATGCAATAGAATTGGCAATGACCAAAGATCTCAGGGCACTGCAGTGGTGGTTCTCCACCAACCACATGCTGCTCAGTGCTGAAAAAACCAAATTCATAAATTTCAATCTCAGGAAAGAAATTGTTTTTTCAAATGAAATCATTTATCATTCTGCTGATTGTATCAGTAAGCAAAATGTGTGTACTGATAAATGTGAGATTGTCAGACAAACAAACAACATAAAATATCTGGGGATCCTTTTGGATAGTGAAGTTAACTGGAAAGTACACATATCTAAATTGAAAAATAAAATCAATAGTATTTTGAGGTATTTTTATTTTCTTAAGGATATGACCAGTGAACAAGTGTTACGTACTCTGTATTTTTCTTTGGTTCAGAGCAGAATTGAATATGGGATAATCTTTTGGGGGAATGCGTATCACACTCACTTAAATCCAATCATCATTCAGCAAAAACATTTAGTAAGATTAATTTCACGTAAAGGCAAATTTGAATCATCTCTTCCACTATTTATCATTAAAAAAATTCTTCCATTAAAATATCTTTTTGTTTATAAAGTTTTAAAGATGTTTTACAGTAAAAGTGGAAATATGATTCCCAATGACAATACCTATCGAAAAAAACTTAGGAATGCGGAAAAGTTTTTACTACCACGACCAAACAATACATTTTTTACCAAATCATACAGTTTTTTAGCACCGAAAATGTTTAATCTCCTGCCTAATAACATAAAGAATGTAAATAGAGGCAACCTTTTTGCCGCTAAATTGAAAAAATGGTTGTTAAGTTTAGAGGAAATTGACTTTTTATTTTTGATTATAAATTAGGTTCAATGTAGATAAGTTTAAGATAGATACAGAGATAAGGGCGCACTTTGGCAAGCTCTGCCACTCAGGGACTAAGCATTGCATGCTATCGGCTATGAAGGCACTTGTGTCCGAGCCGCCTGGTGGCAGAGTGCGGTGCGTGGTTTGATATTTTCAAACCTTAGTTTTTTTTTTAAGTTACATTATTATGTTTTATCATTTATAGTATTACGTTTATATTATGGCACCTTATTATGTATAGAGATCTCAATTTTTTAATTTACAATCCTGATTATTTTGTCTGATCGCTGTCTTTTATTTATTTTTTTGGTTATTTCATAATGAAGGAACCCCCAAACAGGCTTTGCCTCGGGGGCCCTACATTTTCTCCCAATAAATTGCACAAAAAAGATAATTAAATTAAAATCATCTAGGTATAATTCTTAGGTTTCTTTATTATGTTAATATTGTTGTGAATAAGCCAGTGTTTTTTTTTTTCTCTTCTTAGTCAGTCTGACACGTGGGACATTTAGTTTTAATAGAATATTATATCAAATTCTTTTTATTGTGTTGTGCATTGTAGTTTTAATTATTGTAATACTTGTATTACTGGGAGAAAATAAATATTCTTATTCTTATTCTTATTCTTATATAGATTTGACTATTTTTATTAATTTCTAAGTGGTGGTTTCATAATGTTGAACATGTTGTACTATTTTAAATTACCCTGTATTTTTCTTGCAAATACACATATCTCTGTACTGATTAATATGTCACATCCCTCATGGGCTAAGCTTTACATTGATATCTAATAACAATAATATCACAAAACTAAAATTTCAATAGAAATACAAATTTTGAAAACTACATTTCGCAACTCAAAAATTTCAACAGGGATCATGTCAAATTGCATATTTTTTAAGGTATCATAATTCCAAGCAACTTTGAAATTTATACTTTAATCGTATTGTTTCACGTTTTCAAGTTATCAACTAAAAACATGCATTCCCTTATAAAACGCATGTTAATTGTTAAACAGTAGGCTTTGTGTCACACAATGTGAAGACTAAAGGCACTGCAAACGCATAGCGTGCGTATTATTAATAGTACTGTATAGGGAAATCTTGTTCTCAGCTGATTACTTGTAAACTAAAAAAGAATGATTCAAAAGAAAATGATTTCTAACTGAAGGTTGCTATGAATTATTGCAATACCTTTATAATGATATGCAGTTTGACATATGATACTATTGGACATTATTGAGCTTTAGCTGTGTAACACATGTACTGTATTGTCAAGAACAATACAGGTTATTTAAAATAGTACACAAATTTCCATATCAAGAGCCACAGCTTAGAATCGAATAAATATAGTCGATTTATGACTGCAGCAAAATGTTTGTATTAATAATGACTTTGAAATTATATATAATATGACATCTATCTATATTATTAATACACTACATGAAACTTTGTCAACAATAAGGCTTTTTTGTTTTAAGATTTAACCCTACATATTATATACCAAAATGTTCGTCTAGGTGTGTAGATTTGCAAACTGACCTTACATTTGTTTTTAAGTCCCTTGGACTCTGCCCCCATGGTTTTAAAAGTTCCCATGTTATCCTTATTAAGAACTTATTTGTTTACATTATGATAAGCTGGATAATTTGATTGCTGTCAATATTTTAGTTGCAATTTAAGGAAACGTGTGCTACAAGCATTTACTGACTTAGTTGACATGAAATATATACTACCTATTTGAATTTGGATTGGCGTAAATATTACAATGGAAAAAAGCGAGAAAGCCTTGGACATTTTGATATACTAAAAAGAAAACTGAATTATAACATGTGCTGCATTTCTTGAGCAATTATTGAAAGAGCCCAAACTATGGAAACGTAAGAAAGTCATAGAACACCACCAAGTAGAAGAAATAGAAATAATGTTGTTTTTTTTTGGGGGGGAATTTATAATTGTTATTATGGACAACATATTGCGGCTATGAGTGGGAAACATTTTTTAGGAAACACTAAAAACAAGATCAGCCTTTGAAAAATGATAAGATATGTTGATTATATTGAACTGTTATGTACATCGTGAGTATTTCTATAATCTTTAAGTAGACTCTTTTAAAGTCTTCGAAAATTATGACTGTTATTAGTTTTAAAATAACGCCTGTAATACTTCGCAATTGCTCGAATTCAAGCAAAATGTACACTAGTATGATTCTATTTGACAATTAATTGTGACATTCGGACCAGTAAAACACTAGATAAGGCCAGGCGCACACAGGCGATTTTGAGTCTAGCAACAGTTGTCTGACTAAAAAGTTGCCTGTGTGCGCACTCCAGCTCAACTAGACTTCAGGGTCTCCGAGTGGGCTGCGCAACAGTCCCCCAAATAGTTGGGCAACTGTTGCTAGACTCAAAATCGCCTGTGTGCGCCTGGCCTAAGGTACATCCTGCATCTTCTTCAAATCAAACAAATTTACAACGATTGATTCCAAAGTATATACAAACATTGTCATTTCTTTAACATACAGTTTTGTGTTGTATTCGTCACAAAACCCAAATAATTTAAATAAAGATATACTCATCAAACATGCGTTTCTATAATAATGGTTGGCACAGAATTTGTAAATTACAAACAAAATAAGCTGGATAAGTAAAAGTTTGACAAAGTATCTTATTTACTGATGCCTTACCTTTAGTCAGCGGGTTGTGTTGGTGATTAAACGGATGGTGCTTAAGTAGTCGTTGACTTAATTGTAAAAAGCATATGGTGGCAATTAAAGTAATTTGTATTACAGTCGGGCGGGACCATGAAAGTTTGCAGTTGGCAGCAGCCAATCACAAAACAAGGCTAGTGCGACGTTGCCACATCGCCCGTTGACAACACTAATTAAAACTAGTGCACAAGTAGTTTTGGCAACAACGCACGGTTCTCATTGGTTCATTCAAAACCATATGGCAAATAGGCTCCTCCCTCAATTGCGAACTTTCCTGGTCCCCGACAGTAGTGATGGATAGCATCGTTAATCACTTGCGCACTTATTTTTTGACGTTAGTAAAAAACACGTCCATCACTCAAGTTAATATAACAGATGTTAGGTTGAATTACAACTATTTATCATGTCATAATTTATGACCAAGTGTTCAGTTGCATCATCATCCAAGTTGTATGATATACCTCGGATCAAATTCTCGGGGATACCAGTAGAAATTGACGCTATTTGAAAATGTATTCTTCTGCCACAGCAAACCTGCAGATTTACCTGGTCGGATTTTCACTAAAATATTAGCAAAATACCGTTTGTCTAATGGTAGGACCTGGACCGGGGACCGATTAAATTTAACGTGTTGATGGCACAGATGCTAAAAACACCATCCGTTCAAATACATACAAATATTATAAATATATATATGATTTTGTAAAGAGATTCTTCTGGTTAAAATTGAGAGCGTCTGGCAAGTCGTAGAAAGAAAGGAGATGGCTCAAATTAAATGTGTCTATTACGTAACGGTGGAAAAAAATGTAATTTCTAAAAGTAATCACAAAATTACATGACGCAAAATGTTCTCCATTGGATGGAAGTCATAAGCATTTGATTTTTGTTTACAGGTGATCGCGTAGTCTTAGACGTGCCCTCCATGCGTAACGTGTTTCCCGGAACCGGGGTTTTTTGTAATGTCTATAAGTTATGTTCGTGTGTTCGTCCGTGATTTATGTAAATGTGACTTTGATGGATTTTTGCCATGACGACTTTTTCTGGAATTACATTTTGATGTCATTCGAAGCCTGATGAAGTTCCCTCGGGAATGAAACTGACGAGTTTTTCTCACAAGACGTTAGGGATATACTTTTATTTGCAACGCTGTCCAACGCACGCTCGGTTAACTAGCGTCTCAGGGTCCTTGTCAGAAACTAACCGAAATTGAGTTTAAAAATTCATTAAAAATGGTTTAATTATAAAATTAAACTGTCATGACCAACCAACCAAACTTGCTGATAATATAAAAAAGAAATAAGATAAAAATCGAATGAAGGTTTACTAATAAAACCAATCTGTTCGTAAAATGCTTCAAATTCTAACAAAAAATGTACAGATAAAAAGTAATCGCATTCTAATCAAAAATCTTTGACAAGACCAGCGGGACCTCATGGGTATTAGTCGAGTACGCTACCAACTACACCACGAACACCGATGTCTTCACACCGTATCGGTGCGGTAATGGTGTTCCCTCAAGAGAACAGTGAAGAGTGAATCTATACACTCTGTTAGAGGCGCAAAAGTACAGGGTGTTTCAAAAAGAATCATCCGATTTTGAAAAATCATAGCTACTCATCTATGAATCCGATTTGATCGAACATTATACTGTTGGAAAGAGGAAATTCTCAAGTTTCACGGAAAATATCTAAAAGTCCCATTTTCAAATTTTAACCCCCCCCCCACAAAAAAATCCAAAATGGCAGACATCTGAAAAAGAAAAAACACGGTTTTTTTAAACGGCTATAGCTAGAACGCGGTAAGAGCTAGCGAAGATTTGAAAGAATTTTCACGGTCAGAAATTAAATTTTCTACAAGACAATTTCGGAGGTTTCCAAAAATCACACACCTTCACCCCCGAAAAACGCCATACTTTCAAAAATTGGCAATTGTTTTAACATTTTCAATTGTTTTTACAACTTTTTTTCTACCTTAGTAAATTTGTATTACAAGTTGCACATATGCTGTACATATAAAGGAGACCATATTGAGCACCTGTAAATGGTATGTAAAAAACTTTATTATTTACTCTTTAATATAAAATTAACCTCATGTCCGTATGATTATTAGTTTTCAAATTGTAAACCTACGAAATCGGATGATTCTTTTTGAAACACCCTATCCCCAACGTCTTGTGACTTACACTGGAGGACCAAAACCCCCACCACCGTGCCGCGACTAGCCTCTCAGGGTCCTGGTTTAAAAAATAAATACCCCCGCCGCAGCAAACCTGCAGACTAAGCAAATTTCCATTCGCCTGATTGGATTTACACTAAAATGTCTCCTTAAAATATTCCCTATTTAAATGACATTAGTTTAAGGTGTACTTAGGTTTGCTGCAACAGGGAGGGTAAAAAGGTGTTTTTTTTTGTACATACAAAATGGTTTGGAAAGAAAATGCTAAATTTTAAGTTTTTAGGGCCAAAAATGGGAAAAACCAATTTTTGCCTTATAAAACTCCCCATAAACCCATGTTCCCATAGTGCGATCATGCTGTTCGCGAACTCGTTCAAATAAACGTATGTTTTACACGTTTGTACCAAATTTTATCAAAATCGGATGATTTTTGCTCGAGTTATCGCGCTAACGGGCACATATATAAATATATATATATATATATAAATAAAGATTAAACATTAATAAACTTAGTACCCAAGTAAAATTATTTATTAAAATATTTACTGACTATAGTTTCGGCTCTAAGGCCATTTTCAAAGTAAACAAAAATCAAAATAAGATATGTAAATAAATAAATAACATATGATTTTATAAAACTTTTCTAACTTGTAACATAATTTTGTCTTCACTGATAAATTTATATACTATATGATGTGTTGTACTTATTTTCATTAATATTTTCTCAATTTTGCTATTGTTTCATATATTGGATTATTCAACTTTGGAATCATTGTATTTAAAATATTTGATTTGTTATTTTTGTAGTTCATATAAATATTAATTTCTTCTTTTACATTCAATTTTTCTCTGTCTTTTTCAATTTCTAATATTGTTAAGTTTTCTTCGATATTAGTAAACTTATGTTTGGATTTTATTAAATGATCTGCAAAATTTGATTTCATTGATTTTTGTTCTTTGATTTATATGCCTGTATATGTTCGTTGAATCTAACTTTAAAATTTCGATAGGTTTGTCCAATGTAGTATTTGTCACAGTCAGAACATTTAATTTTGTAGATACCAGATGCATTGTATATGTTTGCTGTATTGTTTATTATAGGATTGTTGGTTTTATTGTGTATGATTTTAAAAATGTTATTTTTGTTCTGTAGCTTAATTTTACTGGGGTATGTTTGAATGTTTTCCTGATTGCTTTGTTAAAATTGTTGTTGTATGGGACGCACATGAATTTCTTTTCTTCTTTGTGTTTCGAATTGTTTTCTAAGTTTGATTTTATTTCATTTCATTCATTCTGACTGTGACAAATACTACATTGGACAAACCTATCGAAATTTTAAAGTTAGATTCAACGAACATATACAGGCATATAAATCAAAGAACAAAACATCAATGAAATCAAATTTTGCAGATCATTTAATAAAATCCAAACATAAGTTTACTAAGATCGAAGAAAACTTAACAATATTAGAAATTGAAAAAGACAGAGAAAAATTGAATGTAAAAGAAGAAATTAATATTTATATGAACTACAAAAATAACAAATCAAATATTTTAAATACAATGATTCCAAAGTTGAATAATCCAATATATGAAACAATAGCAAAATTGAGAAAATATTAATGAAAATAAGTACAACACATCATATAGTATATAAATTTATCAATGAAGACAAAATTATGTTACAAGTTAGAAAAGTTTTATAAAATCATATGTTATTTATTTACATATCTTATTTTGATTTTTGTTTACTTTGAAAATGGCCTTAGAGCCGAAACTATAGTCAGTAAATATTTTAATAAATAATTTTACTTGGGTACTAAGTTTATTAATGTTTAATCTTTATTTATATATAGTAGCCCTATTTTTCAATTTTTCATATATATATGAATTTGAACGGATGGTGTTTTTGGCCTCTGGGGACCTCAAAACGAAAAAGTATGTAATCAACCTTAAACTTAGGCCTACAATGGAAACTCCATGTACAGTATCGAAACTTAAATTTATTTAATTGAAATACAAAATTGGTGGTATAAGAAAATAAGGGGTTCACAATAAAGTTTACAATGAGTGGGGAATGAATTTAATAATTAAAGCTTTAGGCTAAGCCTATTACAATAGTTCTAATTTAGGTTCAGGTGTTATAACTTATTGCATGGATCTTTATCTCAGGTGGGGTGATCGAGCGGCATTAAATTTTAATCTTTTAATCTTTAAAGATAATAAAGATTTTTCAACACACTATGATGTTTTTGGCTGTATTACATACGTTAATTGGTGGCTGAAAGTTACGTTTTGCTGGCCATGCCAGCTGTCATCGTATTTTGGGGACCGAGCAGGTTTTTACAGCCTGAGGCCGCAAAATCAGCTGTTCGCTTACTTACTTAAAACATGAATGCATTTTAAATACACAATCAAAATCCATAGCATTGCAATAGAATTGTGTTATTGTCACCGTTGCCTAGCAACTATTTATTTTTATTTTTGCTGATTCCTCAAATTATTTCTTCACATAACCTTAAAGTTGTTGTGTTGACTATCAGTGTGCATTACTATAGTGGTGAATAGTTGTAATAGGGTATATTGTGGTGAAAAATAGCGTTCGTACCACGGACCGAAATGGTTTTGCAGCTCTCGATCGATTTAAGTTCTCGACTTCGTCTTGAACTTAAAAACTATCTCGAGCCGGCAAAACCTCATTTTCGGCCCTAGGTACGAAATATACTATATTCTACACTTTTTTTATTTCAACATTTATATTTGAGATTTATTGTAGTGTTTAGTCAACATTTTGTATGAAGTTGAATAACCTCAACGGCCATTCTTAGAAAACAAC